CCCCCCCCCACATCCCTTCTCGAGCGCGGTTTTATAGTTTCGATCGGATCGTCGATCGTGCCGGGGAGCTGCATTATTTTGTCTCGCGTTAATGCCGAGCATAACCGGGCACCTGTACAGATTTTATTGGGTATCGGCACCGCGCGTTACGAAGTTTTTCCTTTCCTCCTCCTCGCCCCTCCCTCCCTCTCTCACCCTCTCTTTCTCTCGTTTTCAATATCTGCTATTCTCCGTCGGAATTTTATCGCATTAACGCGCTTAGCTGAACTCGCTCTCGCGCGCCTCTTAGATCCTCGATATTTAAATATCACTTATATATGCATCGGAACTCTACTCTTAGGTACAAAGTGTGTAGCTCTTTTACGCTCTGTGTGCCGTACACATTTCCACCGGCAATCGTTCATCATTCATCTCGCGCGCCCCTCTTCGTTAGGTCGTCTACCCTTCCATTCTATTATATTCTCTCCCGCGCTACGGAACAATCGCGCGATACAGCCGAGCGAGACAATTACGCGTATATTTGTATATCGACAGAGACTCCGAATTAAAGTGGATGGAACTTACGGCCGGCGTCGACTCTATGACTCTATGGATCGGTGAATAGAGCCCGGTATATTCGCGCGAGCAACCGCATACCGTAGCTCAGTTTGTACAACCGCGCCATTCAGCCATGTGCCATGCGAAGAGAGGGGAGAAGAGAGAGAGAGAGAGAAACGTTGACGAGTTTCCTTCCCTCCGCTAATATATACATATGAATTTCATATAATCCGCCACAATGCAAACGCGCGTCATGATCACGGATATCCAAAGCGGCCGTTAGTCTCTCCCGGGCGCTTCGGCGTTACCATTTTCATGATTTTGACAGTAATCGCGCAATTGAATTCGAGCTAATCGCTCTAATCGGAAATTCAACGTGCATACCGTTGATTAGGAAATTTGATGGGCACTAATTAAATGATAATTAGCACATTGATTTCAATAGTCGTGCCGAACAAGACCGTTGCTGTTTCTCGCACAAACAGTCGCAACGCGTTCGCTCCCGACCGGTCGCGGCGGACGCTCCTCGTGAAGAATCCTCGGAACGGAATCGCGAGAAACGCTTCTCACCCGATCGAAATGTGCCGCGAGTGTCGCAACTATCACGCGCATTCCGGCGTCAGCCCGAGCTGAGGCTCGCTCGTTGTAACAAGCGAGTCGAAAGCGCACGTCGGCTAAAGGGGATTTGTCGAAGCTCTCTCTCTCTCTCTCTCTCGTCCGGCGGATTTGCGCGATCGAAGCAGCGAGAGAGAAGAGAGAGAGAGAGAGGATCGCCGACGAGTACGGCCGCGCTTCGCCGGTCGCATCCATATGCACCGCGATATTATTCGCACCGATGTAAATGCGCGCAGTTTGCCGCAGACAATCGCGTAACGAAGTAGGTAGATGGGTAGGTGGGTTACGTACGTACGTATGCGCGTTGCCGTTTCCGCCGCCGGCGGTGCGCGATAACGCCCGCCGACTGTTTCCGACGTGGCCGGAGCTTCCGCGTAGACGCGAGAATTCGCGACCGAAAAGTCCGGCTTGTGTACGCGACGCACCGCCGCCAGGTCTCCGAGTGTCGCGCGAACTTCAATTAGCGACCGGTGGCAATTAACGGAGCACACGGGGCTGCCGCTTACCGCTCCGAAAATTCCGCCGGCCGCCGCGGGAGATGCGGTTGCGCGACGCCCTATGCAAATTAACGATTCGGCCTCTTCTTTCCCCCACCTGTGCTGATGCTCTTTTTATCTTTATCTCTCTCTCTCTCTCTCTCTCCTTGAACTTCCTTGTTTCTACGTCGCAACGCGCGCTTCTCTCCATTGTTCTGAAAATACCTCCTGAGTGTATAATCGGCGGCGGCAAGAAGATCGCGACGCCCCTCATCTCGATGAGTTTTGAAACAATTGAGTATGGTTAAAAAAAGAAAATTTTTCTCTTCAATTTTTCTACGGAGAGAAGACTGAAGAAATTCTTGGAAATATGGAGAGAAACGTTTCCTTTACATTCCTTTCGGCGGAAGGAACTGAAGAGAAACCGCGGAACAATGGGAGAACCACCCCCACCTCCGGTTTTTCCGAGCTTTTAAAACTATAATACTGAGTGATCGTTCCGATTATCGTTGGAGAAAACACATCGCGAGGAAGCGCGTCGCCACCCTTCGCCGCCGACTGCACACCCTCGGTGTATAAAAAGGAAGGCACGGCTTTTTTGTACGGCCTAATGTTGTACACGTCGGAGCACGGATAAACACCCCCGTGTCATCGCCGTGGAAAGGGCGATTTCTCTCGTGACCGGGGAAATTCTTAAACCGATGTTCATCTCCGCGGAGGCGGGAGATGAGCACGAAACAGCAAACATACATTAGACCGCGCACGAAGCCCGATCGATATTTACATTATCGCTCTGCCATCGCGAAAGGGGTCGGTCATGAAATGTCGCGCGACTGTCACGGGAGCATTTTTACCCCGTCTTCCCTCGCCCCGGTAGCTGCATCGATCGGAAGTGGTCTTGGACGACCGTGAAATTCGCCGAACGCGTCAGCGTTAAGAGCACACGCTGCCTACGATTAATTACGTCATCGCGGGAGGGACGATTGCCCCGGGACAAATTTCAATTAGCACCCGATGGCAATTAATAACGCGTGCCCAGCGCTTCGTTCGTTCGGCGGCTCGCGGTCATTTGCGAAGAGCATTTCAAATTAATAAGTCTTGAGCGCCCGGCCGCCAACCGACCCGTCCACGGCCCGCCGTTATTCTTCTCGCTGCTCGGTCATTCGGTCCTCGTGCCGCTGGCGATAAATAACGGCGGATACGTCATAGCGCGTCCATACCCGGCATTAGTTTCGCTCGGCAACGGCGAATGCGGGAATCAGGGCGGATCGATCGATTAAACGGCGATTGCGAGATTAAGACCGTCGGCGACTATCGGACGCGCCGGAAGACAGCCGGGGGGGGGGGGG